CGGGCTCTAGAGCACAGGCTCAGTGGTTGTGGCGCACGGGCTTAGTTGCTCCGCGGCATGTGGGATCTTCCCGGACCAGGGATCGAACCTGTATCGCCTGCACTGGCAGGCGGATTCTTACCCACTGCGCCACCAGGGAGGTCCCGTGGCTCACTGCTCTTCATCCCTCCAAGATTTCAGTCCCCCAGGTCTAACTCCTCAGTTCCAGATCTCAGAGGCCCCCCTGTAGGCCCACAGGCACCTCCCGCTCCACGAAGCCAAACTGGAGCTCACCACGTCCTTCTTCTGGTTCCTGCTTGGTATCTTTCTAGCCGGAAGTGAGCGCCTCCCCTCGGAGTCACTCTGGACCATCTCATGGGCTCGTGGTTACTTCTGGACATTTCTGCCCCTTGCTAAATGGCATGCTCATTCTGAGTCAGGCTCTAGGAAAAGAGGTGGCCCATCCTTTCCTCCAAGGCCCAGGTGTTCCTGGGAGGGAGAGGCTCTCTCTTGGTCAGCTCTGTGCCACCCCTGCGCCCGCTAGGCCCTCAGAAAGAGCAGGCGTCAGCCACATGTATTCAGCACCATGCGTGCCACGAACAGTAAGCAAGAGAGCCAAGGCTCTGGAACGTATGAAGCCTCTTTGCTTTGGGCCCAGTCCTGCATGGGGCACCAGGGACACGGAGATGGAAAGTCAGTTCTGGCCTGCACGGAGCTCCCAGACCAGGCAAGGCTGGGGTCAGGGAGCCAGACGGAAATGGACAATAAGATGTCAGGACTGTGGCAGGGGAGCCTGAGGGTGCTGGGGGAGCCTGAGAAGTCTTGTGTAGGTGGGGAGGAGAAACAAGGAAGGGTCCAAAAGAGAGAGAAAGGGAGGAGTGAAGGGGTAAAGCAGAGAAGAGGCAGGCATGCTGGGAGGGCCTGAGATGTCTCATGTGGCAGAAGCTGAGGGTGACAGTCCCATGAGAGCAGCTGGGAGACCTCAGCTGGGGCCAAGTCACGGAGCCTTAATGCCGGGTGGGGGACTATGGATCACCCTGGGGGCAATGGAAGCGGTGGGAAGGGCTTTAAATTGGGAGAAATATCACTGGATCAGAGTTTTAAAATGAGCTCACTGAAGAGGAGAGGGTGAGACTGAAGGCGGAACCAGCCAGAGGGCCAGAGCTGTGACCTGTGCTGGTTGAGCGCACGGCTACAGACGTACGATCCTGGACCCTCCACCTATTAAGTGGGAGACCTCGGGTGAGTTACTTAACCTCTTTGTACCTCAGTTTTCCCAACTGCAAAATGGGATCATAACAGTACCTAATGTCACAGGGCTGCTGTGAGGGTTAAATGAGTTAATACAGTCTAGACCGCGAGAACAGTGCTGGGCACACAGTGCGTTCTCAGTGTTAGCTACTAGAACAATTATAATCACGATGCAGGAGAGGGAAGATGTGTCCGGGTTCTTCCTCTGCTGCTGCGGCCTCCGGCCTCCCCGCTCCTCCCTAGGCCCCCACGGAGGCAGCCCTTACCTTGTGCAGCCAGTGCAGGTTCATCTGCTGCCCCACGGCAATGTGACATAGTGCCAGGACCTGAACAGGGGGCCCACAGGGCTAGAGTCAGGCACCAGGTGTGACCTGGAGGTTTCTGCCAGTTCCCCAGACACCCTGCTCCCCACTACTCTCTGGGCCCAGCTCAGCTAGTCAGCAAACCTCCCTGAAGGCCATGGGAATGCCCAGCCCTGCCCAGCCCAGCCCAAGCCTGGCCTCCTCCCAGATTATTCCAGGCCTCCAGGCTCCTTCTCCTCTAGGATTTTTCCCTCAAGAGGTCACTGGGCCCTGCTTCACTTGGACTGCCTAATTAATGTTCTGGGAGTTCCAGCTTCCAGGATTCTGAAGCAGACTTCAGCCTTGTCCCCCAGGATGCCCCAGTCCAGCCTGGGGGCTAACCTGAGTCTCAGGGAGTAGCGTATTGGGAGCAGCAACCACAGCACAAGCTCCTGGAAGAGGAAGTCTGCAGTGGGGCCTAACAGTGGGATGCTCCGCGGGGGCGGGGGAAAACATGCCAGGATGGGGCAAAGCAAGAGGACCTCCCTCCTTGAAGGAACCAAGCCCCAGCAGCCAGAAGAAAAGCCAGCTGCGCTCCTCAGACCAGGGCGGGCCCCTCTGTCAGCCCAGCACAGGCCAGGTCTCCCTTCCCCTGGGCACAGGGCCACCTGCCCTCTGAGACAGCCCCACGTACCTGGAGGCCTGCGACGTACGTGAAGGCGGCTGCTGTGGTCATAAGGATGGGCACGGACCAGTCGCTCCAGTAGCCCGTGCGGTTGTAGAGGTACCTGCCAGGAGGAGAAGGGGCAAGGGTCACACCTCCACCAGGGAGCCAGGACGCTCCCTCGGGCCGGCCAGCTCTCAGCTCTCACGCGGCCCGCTCAGTGACCCGGCCCTGCCCACTCAGTGAGGAGGTCATTGTCTCCCTGGTCATAGGTCAGCCTCTGGATGGCTCATGGGGGACACCTAGGCATGCCAAGAAGCATAAACAAGAAGACAAGTCCCCTTAATTCTACTGCACACAAGTAACCAGCACCAAAACTGCTGCCTCCTTCCAGCAGGTTCCCCGCTCTGCTTATATATATATATATATATATATATATATATATATATATATATTTTAAGAAGGCTGCTATTTTATAAATTTATTGTTTATGTATTTATTTATTTATGGCTGCATTGGGTCTTCATTGCTGCGTGCAGGCTTTCTCTAGTTGCGGCGAGCAGGGGCTACTCTTCATTGTGGTGCGCAGCTTCTCATTGTGGTGGCTTCTCTTGTTGCGGAGCACGGGCTCTAGGCACACGGGCTTCAGTAGCTGTGGCATGCAGGCTCAGTAGTCATGGCTTGCGTGCTCTAGAGCGCAGGCTCAGTAGTTGTGGCGCACAGGCTTAGTTGCTCCGCGGCATGTGGGATCTTCCCGGACCAGGGCTCGAACCCATGTCCCCTGAATTGGCAGGCAGATTCTTAACCACTGCACCACCAGGGAAGCCCCCCGCCCAACCCCGCTTATATATTTGTGTAAACAGCAAAGCCGGGACCCCGCTGCGTACAGCACAGCAGTCAGAGTTCAGGCGTTGGAGGGAGGCACACGCAGATATGCAAATCCCCTGGCTTGCAGGACTCTGGAGGTGACAGGCTCCCCTGAATCTAAGATGCCATTGATTGTGACATTCATCTCAATTTCAATGTTAACATTTGAAAAGATGAGGTCTTAGGATTGATAAAATGTAACACCTGACTTCCCTGAGCCTTAGTTTCCTCACCTACAGGATGGGGATAACAAAGTGCCCTTCACAGTGTTTCCTGAGGATGAAGTGAGGTGAGGAATGTGGTAGTACACAATTCTCTGCTTCTTATTAACACAAGCATTTATTGAAGTCACTAAAATCCTGAGGAAATGTGAGTTTTTTAATAGTCACGTGGTCTCCTATGGAATTAATGTACTATATGAAGCCAACTTCCTACTAACGACAATTAATAGTTTCCAATTATTCACTATCATAAATTAACAGTTTTTTTTTTTGCACATACCTTTCTGTATTATTAATTATTTCCTCAGGATAGACTCCTACAAATAGGATTACAGGGCCAAAGGGAATGAACTTTTTAAGGTTCCTGATAGATGCTGCTTAGTTGCTCTCCAGGAAGACTGAACCACCCATGTCCTCCCTGTACAACTGGGGAAACTGAGGCTCAGAGAAAGCAGCAACTTGCACACGTCGTCAGAGAAACTGAGCCGGCGCCAGGCAGCTTCAGGCCTGCTGCCATCTTGGGCCTGGGCAGGGGGCTGGGAGGGGACACCAGGAGGACACTATGGGGCATCTGCCCTCCCCTGGCCCTCACCCTCAGATCCCAGTGGAAAAATCTGTTGGGGAAACTGAGGCCCAAAGAAGGGCAGGCCCAGGCCCTGGCGACTACTCCTGCAAAGTGTTCTGGCTCCACTTGCCTCTCCCTTTTGGCAGGGAGCCCCCACTGGACGGCAACAGCCCGGACGGTCCCTTCCTGGCTTTCCCTGTCTAGCCCTGACCACCTCGGTCTCACTCACCTTCTCTTGCTTCATGAGCTATCCCCGGAGACTCTCTAGACCCTGAGGACCAGGCCAGGGGCTCCTGAATCCCAGCACCGACTCCAAGAAACTGAGGTGACAGGGTGAGGGAGCTGCAGGTCCTCAGGCCATCCCTAAGCCCCAGGCAGCCCTTCTCTCTGCAGCCTCTTCGACAGGGCAGGCATCCGTCCTCTGCTTGAGCTGCCCAGTGACAGGGAGCTCACTCTCTGGGCAGAGTGGGTTAGCTCCGTGGACAGCATGATACAGTCAGGAAGGTTCAAGTCCCTGTCCCAGATCTGACTGCATCTTGCTGTGTGACTTTGGAAAGGCTATTTAACCTCTCTGAGCCTCAGTCTCCTCGACTGTCCCCAGTATGTGTATTTGGCACCAAATGGTTGTGTGGCCCTGGGTGAGTCCTACCCCTCTCTGGGCCTTAGCTTCTCCTTCTGTACATGTTGGGGGTAGACCATCACCCGCAGTTCAACAGAAGCGTCCAGGGTCTACAGTCGAGGGCCAGCAGAGAATGTTCCCATTTGCCCACAGCAGTGCCTGTGCTTTGGATACCTGAAGGATGAATAATTGATTTATGGCATTTAATAAAGGCCAGGGGCCACCTCTGGGACTCGGCTGGGGCTCCGGCTCATCTTGCTGGGCTGCGGCGGGACAGCAGCCAGTCCTTTATTGAGCTCATTAATAACAGAAGCACAGCCTAGTGCTATGCAGAGGGGAGCGGATGCTCAGGCTCCGTGAACCGAATCTTAGGATCATCACAAAATCCTAGAACCACAGCCCATCAGAAGCCCAGAGTCCAGAAATCCTAAATTCTAACATAATGGCCACCAGCTGGAGGTTCGGCCTCCCAGGAAGCAGCCCTCGGGTTTAGGTGAGCTTGGAGCCCTCTCATGTCCATCATCTTATTTCATCCTCAGGAAGACCTGATGAGGTCAGTTATTGAGGACTCACACTTATGTGCCCATGGTCACACTGAGCTGAACTTTTTTTTATTTATGTATATTTTAAATTTATTTATTTATTTATTTATTTTTGGCTGCATTGGGTCTTTGTTGCTGTGCACAGGCTTTCTCTAGTTGCGGCGAGCGGGGGCTACTCTTCATTGCGGTGCGTGGGCTTCTCACTGTGGTGTCTTCTCTTGTTGCGAAGCACGGGCTGTAGGCGTGCGGGCTTCACTAGTTGTGGGACGCGGGCTCAGTAGTCATGGCTCGCAGGTTCGAGAGCGCAGGCTCAGTAGCTGTGGTGCACGGGCTTAGTTGCTCCATGGCATGTGGGATCTTCCCGGACCAGGGCTCGAACCCGTGTCCCCTGCACTGGCAGGCGGATTCTTAACCACTGCACCACCAGGGAAGCCCCTGAACTTCTAACCAAAAGGAAGAGGCAGCACTGGATGGACAGGGAGCACTGGCTGCGAAGCCCCAACTCTGCCCCCAACTGGTTGTGTGAACTTGGGCCTCAGTTTCCACACCTGTCAATGGGGGAGTTCCCACTAGAACCTAGGGAACGTCCCCTCCTCTGTGCCTTTCACTGTTTAACAAAGGCAGACAATGGGGGAGCAGGGGTGGGGGTGAGGAAGAAACAGGTGCCCTCGTGCACCCGGGTACCAGCCTCAGCTCTGCCCTTGGACCCGAGGCTGCTGTCCACACAGGACCCTGAGCTTTCCTAGAATCACCTACCAGCCCTGCCCAAGGCCCTGCTCAGGGAGTTAGGAGGCCTGGGGTCTGGGGCCACCTTCTCTGCTGAGGCCTTGGTCTCTTTGGGCCTTGGAGTCCTTGTCTACAAAGGGATTCAGAGGTCCCAGCCCCCAGCTGAGACCTGGCCCCATCTTACATTCCGATTTTCATGACAGCAGCGCGAGGGAGGAGGTCTCAGCTCCTCGCTAAGCTTCTGTTCTCTCCAGAGGACTGTGTCCCCCAAGGCTATACAGAGATTTGGTGGCCAGCGGTGGCAGAGCCCTGAGGACCAGCCCGGGAGAGAGACTCAAACCCAAGCCCCGCCCCCGTCTCAGCCCCCGGATGACCAGGCCCCAGGCCCCTGCCCCCTGATACCCACTCACCAGTTGAATTCATCGTAGTCGTTGTGGACTTCCCACCAGAAGTACAGCCAGGTGAGCGTGAGGCCGAAGGTCAAGGTGAGGAGCAGAAACCAGAGGCGCTCCCACTGGAGGGGCCAAACGAGGAAAGGGGTCAAGTGGGGCAGGGATGGCCCCAGGCCACCTCCACCCAGCATGCTCCCACCCCTCCCCCTTTGTAGCCCCCGCTGCCAGGCAGGGATTACTGCCCTCTTCACGCGGGTGGGGACCTGAGGCTCAGAGAGGGAAGTGACCTATCCAACATCACTGAGCCCCAAGTCACAAAACAGTGGGGAGCCAGAGCTTGGGCCCCTTGTGCTGCAGCCTGAGGCCCTTCCAGTGTGCACCAGTCTCCAGGAGCAAAGGCCATATCTGCCTAAGCCTTCACACTGGGAGGGTGATCCGCAGTCTGAGGGTCACATTCCTCACCTCCGTCCCGCCTCACACAGGCCTGCAAAGTAGGTGTTCTTCCTCACCTCTGCCCCCTGCTACACTGAGGCCCAGAGAGGTGAAGTGACTTGCCCAAGTCACACAGCAAGTTAGAAGAGGATTAAAGAGCAGTGCCCCAGCCTCTAGAGTTGAAGGAATGAGGCGTTCTACAACCCCCAGCAGGGGTGGCCTCTCTCTCCTGGCGGGGGCTGGGGGGCCGGCGGGGGGCTGCTGACGCCACCTCTGCTGCTTCCCGAGAGGTCTGCAGGCACTTCCGCTGGGCCCTTGGGCTCATCCCTGCTTTCATCCGTCCCCTTATCTCAGAAGCACAACAAGCTTGGAACATCCTGCTCTCTGGGAAACTGCTGAGATCATCAGTACAAACAACAGCCCTTGAGGGGAAGTCAGTGCAGGAGACAACCAAGACCACCCTCTACCTTGAGGGGCTGGAGGGCTTGGAGGAGTTCAGCATCTCTCACCCAGCCAGTTCCCGGGCCCCTTGCTGGGCTCCCCGCAGCTTTCCGGGCTTCTTTGATCCTTCCTACACCGGACAGCCAGCTTGGAGCTACGGTTCTAATCCCAGTTTAACCTCTTGATGGCTCCATCTAGAAAGCAACCCCACTCTGGTCCATAGGGCAACCCTCCTCCTCCCTGAGGCCTGCCCTGTCCCAGCAGGGTGAATCCCGTGTCCTCAGAGCTGCCATAACTGTTGCACCCATGTCGGTCAAGGCACAGACCCTGCAGTTCTAGAACTGTCCTTCTATATGTCGGTCCCCCTGCTACACTGTAAGCACCTTGAAGATCTGGGTGGTCCTCATATTCCCAGGGTAGGTGGCAACTTAGGAAAGATTCGATAGTGAGATGGCAGGTGAGCAAAGATCCTCTCTCCTACTCTGGCATGAGTATGCCCACCCAGGAGAGATCTCACCGGAGGCTTACCACCCTACCCACACAGAGGAGCCCTTGGTCTTTTGTGAACCCCAAGCCAGCAGCGGTGGAGTGGCCATCTGTCCACAGAGATCACTCTGCCTCAGCAGGTGCAAGGCCTCTGGCCAGAGGACAAGGTTCTGAGAAGGGCCCGGGTGAGGGGTAAGCCTCCGCCTATGATGGGTCCTGTCCCAGGCCAGCAGCATGGAGTCCCATGGGACCAGAGAAATAGTTGCAGCGACACTGGCAGGTAGAGAACCCCCCACAGGTGCCGGGGGGTGGGGAATGTCCTATGGTGATGTGTGATGCAGGACCCAGGGGCAATTCTGACAGGTGGCTAGAAAGACCGCAGGTGTCAGGAGGGCCCACAGCATACAGGGGTCCTGTGCACTGAGGGCCACGGTCCTCACTTGGCTGGATCCTGAGAGTGGGGCGGGGAGGACAGGTCAAGAATGAGGGGCTGCCACCCCTCCCTACCCCTGGGAACCGCAACAAAGAACTAGGACCCCCATTATTGGAACCAGGCATGAGCCAGGGCTGGGGGCCACCCAGAGATGAAAGTCCTGGGAGCTGAAAGCCAGAGGTCCCATGGGCACAGGGAGCCTGTACATGGGGATGAAGAGGCCCCATCCACAGTAGGGATGGAGGGGGCAGGTCACTCTAAGAACAATCAGAGGAAAAAACTGAATGGCAGGGGCTGGAAGAAAGGCGAGGGAAGGCCAGGAACTCGGGGAGGAAGTGGCCTGGGGAGCAGCTCCACTGACAAAGAGGCTCCAAATGGCACTAATGGTCCTTGTCAGGGCGTGTTACAGGAGAGGGGCCTGAGCCAGCTCCGCGCCCCAACAAGCCAGCCTGGCCCTGCTCCAGAGATGCAGGCTGTGAGGCCACGGCCATGCTGGCAGGGATGGGGGAGCCACTGGCCCTCCATCACCTCCCACAGTCTGTACAATGCCTGGGTATTTATCCCCAACTCAGAGCAAACAAAGACACCAAGACTCAGAGAAGGGCCACCACATATGGCTGAGCAAGAAGTGCCAACACTAAGAAGTGCCACTCACATCATGGTCACCATTGATGTCCTTATTTGTCATGAGTTTTCGAGCAGATAACAGTCAAGATCCCTGGGGAAGGGGCACTCTTTGCTAATTTGCACAGAGGCTCAATATGGATGAGTGGAGGTGAGTCAGAGATTGAGCAACGTATACAAGGTGACCAAGTCGGGGAGAAGTGGAGGGGGCGTTGAACGCAGGTGCCCCGGCAGGAGGCGATCCTCTGCTGCCCCCTTGGGAACCAGCCCTGCACAGCTCTCGCAAAACCCGCCCTTGCCCTCTGGGACCCAGGCATGTTAATCCCAGACCCAGCTCGGCCCCCTGAGAGTCCTTTATCCTCTCTCGCTGGAGTCCACACCCTAGGCCAAGCCTTCTGCTCCTTCAGGAAGCTCTCCCATCCCTCCAGCTCCCAAGACCTCCTTTTCTTTTTTCTTTTCTTTCTTACTTTTTTTTTTTTTGGCCACGCCACGTGGCATGTGGGATCTTAGTTCCCCTACCAGGGATCGAACCCATGTCCCCTGCAGTGGAAGCACGGCGGGGAAGCAGAAGTCTTAACCACTGGACCACCAGGGAAGTCCCAGGACCTCCCTCTCTTAACTGTTTCTGCACAGACTCTTGGTACCCATCAACTTGACTGTCAATCACATTCTGAACTGTGGAGGTGGAAAGAGCCCAGGCTCAAGAGGGAGACAGACTTGGCCTGCCAGTTGGGTGAGTTACTTAACCCCTCTGAGCCTCAGTTTCCTCACCTATAAAATGGGAATAACACCCCCTACTGTGGAGGGTTGATGTTCAATGAGGTGATATACATCAAGCGGCACACAGTGGGTGCACACTAAGGGACAGTTCACTGGGCTATGGACTCCTTCAGGGCAGGGATGGCTGAGGTATCTCTGTGCACCCTGGGCCCACATCCCTCGGATCACAAGGAGGTGCTCAGACATGGTGTGAGGAACAGAAGAAGGTGTGGACGTGGTGGGGATGCAGGGAGGTCTCAGGGCCACCAGTGGACAAGGACATCATCCAACCCCAGATTTATCCTCAGGCGAAGCCTGGGGTCCCCAGGGAACCAAGGGAAGGAGCTCCCATTGTGACACCACAGCCCCTTCCTTCCAGTCTTGCAGCTGCCTGGGAGCAGGATGACGGTCAAGGCACAGGGAAGAAGGGCTGAGAGCAGCTGGAGAAGGGGACGGGCCCTGGCTGCGGGTGGGGCAGGGGGCTCCAGCCCTGTGACAAGGGTGACTGTGGCAGAGAATCCCAGAGGCCCGGCCCCATCCCGTCTCCTCCCACTCTGGCCCGCATCCTCCAGGAAGACGAGACCCTCCACCCCACACGGGCAACCAACCGTATGCCAGTTTCTCCTGCTCACTGTCTCCTGTTGGCTGTCACGTCTTCTTCTCACCCCTCTTGTCTCTGTCCCACCCCCAGCCTTCTGCACTTAGAGGAGAATGTGTGTGTGGAGAGAGAGCCTAGTAGCAGCTGGGGCTCACGGGGTCACAGAGCGCTGCAGCCACAAAGCCCAGCCCCGCACAGGACGTGTGCTGCCCGCTGTGAGCCCCTGCCCACCCCAGACCGTGGCCCTGGGCCAGAACACACACAGACACTGCTCACACTGCTGGGGTCCCCCCGGGGCCTGGAGCACCTCCCCTGGGTCCCCCGAATTGACCCTGGAGACTGAAATCTGCGTGAGGACGGCCCCTGAGCACGAGCTGCCTCCCTGCCCTTGGTGCCACCATGACCTCAGGTCCACTGGCGGAGGCAGAGCTGTCTCGCTGGACTCCTGTTCCCTGCCTGTCCTCTGGGGCAGAGACCGCCTCTGCGGCCTCCAGGACAGGAGCTTGCCCTGCTTCTGCTCCCACAGCTCCAGAGATGGGCACTCTCCCTGTGGGTGCTGCCGGGCCCTCCTCTGGGCTGAAAATTCTTCCCTCTGAGACAGCAGCCGGACAGAGGCAGGCTGTGTTTGGGAGTCCAGGAACGCTGGGTGTGACTGGCCACCTACTAAATGGGTGACCTTGGAGAAGACATTGCTTTATCCTCCCTGAGCGCCGGCTTTCTGCTCTGTAAAATGGGGACGGCAGTGTTGGACAGAAGTTATCTGGCAACGGCAGGGTGTCAGAAGTTGTCCTTGCCTCCATCCCTGCCTGAGGTGCAGATGATTTCTGCCTCCTCGGCTGCCACCCTGCAGCTGGTTCTCTGACACCACAGAGAACAAGTCCAGCAAAAGGGCAAGAACACGGGTCAAATGACCAGGGCGTGGGGGAATACAATCAAGAGCTGGATTTTCATTCCCCGCCCTCTACCACTAGCCGCATGGCTGCGGGCCAATCACTCGGGACCTCAAGCCTCAGCTTCCTCCTCTGTTCCTGAGGATGACACCACCTCTACCTCACAGGAGGACTGCCAGGCTCAAATGGGATCACAGATGTAAGCTGTAGGTTGCCAAATCCATGATCGTTCCTATAATTATCATTTCGCATCTGACAGTCCTTTAATTATGTGAAGACAGTGATCAAGTCTTCCCCGCCCCCTGCTCTACATCACGTTTCCCCAGCTGAGGAAGACAGCCAAGCAGATCACCCCCTCCCAGCCCAGGGTCGGTGCCATGGTCGGGGGGATGCAGAGGTCAGGCCCAGCTCTGCAGGCTGCAGTCCTAGGAGCCAGCACGGCTGAAAGAAGGTCCCACA